GGAGACAGACAGTCTGGGTCAGGGGAGGCCCAGGTAGACAACTTGGGACCATAATTACCAAGATTTATTAGCATAGGGAGTTGGGAAAGTGTTTTGCCTGGGGGTGGCACTGAAGAGAGATGATGAATGAACTGGGTAGTAGGGCCACTGACAGGAAGGATGTGATGAGGGAAAGCCTGAAATGACAAAACTGCTTCCAGGACTCCTCCCCAAGCCAGTCTCAAATCACCCAATAGCCTTTCTTGGCCTCCTCTCCTGGCCTGTGGAAGGATTTAGCCCACACTATGGAAAGTGAAGGCCAGGAAGAGGGAATAGAATGGCTGGAGAAGACAGCAGGAGGGTTGATGAGGTATCTGCCAAGGGTCATGCCTTGGAAGTGTGCAAGAGGCAGAGAGGAAAGTCCTGGGTGATCTAGCGGCCATGATGGTCCAGCAGGCTCTGGATGCAGCTGGTGGCGTGGTCCCCTGGGATGTGACTGCTGCCATTGGCAGCAGAAGACTTTAAACTGGTAGGTAGGTCTGTTCTAATGTATTATTTATTTAAATGGACATGAAAGAGAAAGAGAGAGAGAGAGAGAGAGAGAGAGAGAAAGAGAGATATCTTCCATCTGTTGGTTCACTCCTCCAAAGCCAGCACTGGCCAAGTCAGGCAGAGGTCAGAAGGTAGGAGCTTAGTTCTAGTCTCCCACATGGAAGACAGAGACTCAGTCATTTGGGTCACTACCTGCTGCCTCCCAGGACCACACTATCAGGGAGCTGGATCAGAAACAGAACAGTCAGGACTTGAACAAAGCATTTTGATATGGGATGCAGGCACCCCAAGTGATGACTTAACCTGCTCTGCTACCCGACTTGCCCTTGTTTCTTTGGTTTTGATTTAGAAATTCTTAGGGGATAGTGTCATGATGTAAGTGGGTAAAGCCACTGCCTGCAATGTCACATTCCATATGGGCACCAGTTAGGGTTCTGGCTGCTTCACTTTTGATCCAGCTCCCTGCTAATATGCTCGGGAAGCAGTGGAGGATAGCTCAAGGCCTTAAGCCCCTGTACTTACGTGGAAGACCTGGAAGAAGCTCTTGACTTCTGGCTTCAGACTGGCCCATTTCTGGCCAATGCAGCCACTTGAAGAGTGAACTAGCACATGGAAGATCTCTCTCTTTCTCTTGGTAACTCTGACTTTCAAATAAATAAATCTTAAAAAGTAAGAAATCCTTAGACTTTGTGCTTTATATCTGCTTTCCAATGTATATGCCCAGAACATGAATTGTGCTTAGAAGAGCTCCCGTGGAATTGCAGTGGTGCTCTCTGATTCTCTGAATAGTAATCAAATAAGATTAGGGGATTGGTGCCACTTCCTCTTCTTTTTCTTCCTCAGGAAAAATCTTTTCAAGTAAAATCTTGTTAACAATTGTTATGAACAATTATTTCGTACATAATAATTGTGTTGTTAAAGCTTATGTAAGGGTAGCTAATGTATTTAGTGAGCCCTTGGTATGTGCTGGTCACCATGCTCAATACTTCTCTCATGTTTCCCTCAATACAATGCAATGAAGAGATGTTCCATGTCACCCATTTTACAGATGAAGAAAATAAGGCACAAGTCAGTGACCTCCTTCAAGGTCACATGCTGTGAAAGTGCAGAGCTAGGGACAGATCGTGTTGGTTAATTCTAGCTCGTATCTCATGCCTTGCCATCTTAGGAAGCTACTTGAGAGAGGTGAAGGCTGGGGGCCATCTGGTCTTCTTACTTGTCTCCTCAACTTCCTTCCTTGGTTGTCCCTGAGGGACCCCTCCAGGAAACCCATTCTAGTCACCTTTGAGGCATACAGAAAGTAAGCAAGATTCCCCAATGGAAGTCACCCTGTGTGCTGACATGCCTCCTGCAATCAGGTGAGAGCTGTGTGTGTGTGTGTGTGTGTGTGTGTGTGTGTGTGTGTGTGCAAGGCAGAGACTGGGATGGAGCTCTAGGAAGGAGGAGTGGAGCTGGAGGCTTAATGACTCGGGGAAGGGTAGGCTATGAGAACTCAATCGGAGAAAAACTCTTTGAGATATGTCCTCTCCTCTTTTCCAATATTCCCAATTCCTTATGTCAAAACTCAGAAGCTGAGTGTAGGGGAGTTCCTGAAATCCTGTAAGATTTGGGCATCAGGGTCCATATACCTTACAGCCCACCAGGTAGCCATGCCCAAGGCCTGCTCCAGAGAGCGGGTCGCAGTCCTCTGTGCTTGGCACATGGCATGCAAGGTCAGCTTTCCTCTACCTACACTGTTCGAGAAGTGCTTGGGAATGGCCAGTTTTCCTGAGTAGGCTGAGCCTTTACTGTTGCCTGCCTGTTCCCAGACATCGGGCTCATTTCTCCCTTGCGCTCCCTCTGGCTTCAGAGTATCTAAGATGTGAAAACCCCTGGATTGGGGAAGGTTGGGGGTTGAGATAGTGTTGCTGTTGTTTGGGATGGAAACTGAAGAGCGGGAGGAAGTCCATCTTTCCTCCTTGGGAGCTGTGAGCCACTCCTGTGAGCCTCCTGTGAGCAGGAGGCAAGCCTGCGCTTGCTAAGCACCTTGCTCTCCATCTTCCCAACTCTCTGAGGTGCAGACTATTTCAGCAAAGACAACATATCTTAAAAGACTTGGGGCACCCATTTGGCCTTAAGCTGCAGCCTTGACTTAACTCAAAGGGTGCATTGGGGTGATCCCCATGGTCAGTTCTGACTTGAAGATGATCTTGAGAGAGAAAAAACCCTTTGGTCTCCAGGGTCACAAGTTTTTCACAAAGTGTCCCTGGGAAGATGGGGCTGTCCTCTGATGTACACTGGGTAGAGAGCATTTTTTTGTATGAAATCATACTGATGTATCACCTCTTTGGTTGGCAATGTTTTGGCCAGAATGACTGAAGGTATCATGGGGTTTTCTTGCTGTCAGTAGGACCTAGAGGTTTGCTGGGTGTTCAGACAGCTCTGAGAGATGAACATTTCACACCCATGCTTGACCCTTGGGAGGTTAAAGTTCAGCTATTTAGGAATCCCGGAGACCCAAATTAAAAGCCTGATGACATTCTTGGGGAGCATTAGAAGTCTGGGACCATCCTGAAAGGCACTTTCTTTTCATTAGCCTCACATCTGTACCTCGTCTCTCAAAAGGCTGTGTTTGTAGGGTTGTCAGATGCTGCCATCAGGGAAGTTTCTGGAAGGAAACCGAGCAATGTCCTGGCCCAGCCTCTCTTTATATCGATGGAAACAGGATCTTTATATTGATGGGTACAGAGAAAGGTTGTGCCTGCATCACGCCACACTGGTAATCCCATTGCCTAGTCCTTCTGTTAACTCTCCACTTTTGTTTTATTATGGTAAGGCAAATATCAACCAAACCTGCCATTTTAATCCCTTAAAAGTGTACAGCTGAGTGGTGTGAAGTCCTTTGAGAGGAGCATGTGACTGCCACCACCATCTATCTCCAGAACTTCTGCATCATCTCCAACTGAAATGAATCCTTTGTTTTTGGAAACACATGTGTGCTGGGCATGTGCCAGACTGTGTTTCAAACATGTCGTGTAACAACTTTCCGAGGCGGGTACTGGGATTAACTCCATTTTAGAGATGTGAGAGTTGAGGCAGATGGTGTAGCCAGCAAGTGTCGGAGCCAGATTTCACATCTGAGACTTCAGGCTCCACATCTGCACACTGTATGGTTCAAGTCTAAAGGCAATGATCTTCAACTTATGGGTAAAAATCAAAGATTTCCTGTGTGTGTGTGTGTGTGTGTGTGTGTGTGTGTGTGTGTGTGTGTGTGTTTAGGGAGGGGAATACTGCATGGCACAGGTACAGACTTTAGGTCTGTGTGTGCTACCCTGGCCTCTGGTCATGGAGGCAGGGACTTTCTGGAGGTGCTGGACATTTTGCAGTATCCTTGCAGGCTTGGCCTCTGCTGAACATTGCCTGCCTCTGCACACTGAGTTTGAACTCCTCCAGGCTGGGACATACAGGGTTAAAAGCCAGTGAGGATAGATAGCTGAATTAGTGGTTGCCTCACTGCGTGTGGAGTGTGCACCTGCCAGGCAGCAGCCAGCTGCCAGCCACCAGCCAAGTCTTCTGGGCTGTGCACTCACCCAAGCACCTTGAGGACAGAGGGCCTTGGAGGTTTTCTAGGGCAAAGCTCAGCCAACTCCCAACAGCGTGAGATCTGCATGAGACTCCATGCTGCCCTCTCAGATGGAGAACACTGGGCCGAGAGAATGGGGGAAAGGTGAGAGGGAGATGTGGGGACAGTGAGGGAACTCATGTTTATTGAGCACTTGCTTTGGACCAGGCTGTGTATTTTACACATTTTGTTCCCCTCAATTCTTACAACAGCACTCATCATCCTTGCTTAGGGAACAGGAGCTTTGAGAATGATGATCATATGAATATCAATAACCACAGCATGACATCATTTACAAGGTGACCACATAGGTTAGTTAGAGCAGGTGCAGAACTTAACTAATTGTGAGACTTGCGGCAAGTCACTTAGTTTCTCTGTGTCTTGGTTTCTTCATCTACAGAGTGGGAATAACACAATCTTTTCTCCTCAGGGCTTCTTTCAGGATGGGATGAGTGTCTGGCGTAGCTAGCTAAGGTTTAGCAGGTGTTAACTGACACAATGAGGATAAGTAACCCCAACACATTGGGCCCTTGACTAAGAGCTTTCTTTCTACTACATTGTTTAAATATTACAACAACTCACAAGAGTTTGGCTCTATCATGTCCATTTTGCTCAGAGTAGTTAAGTAGGACTCAGAGTGGTTAGCTGAGGCCCTTGAGTCTCCAGAAGTAGAGGGAAGTTGGGCTGGACACTCCAGGAGAGAAAATGGAAGTGGTAACATTAAACTCTTGGGGGTCGTTGCTTCTTCCACCTGGCTAGTTCCTGCCCTCTGCCCCGAACATTGTGTTTTCATCTGCCTGAAGCCAATGCTTCCTCCTGCCCCTGCCCAACCCAGCTTCCCGCGATGGGTTCCTCTTGTAGCACTCACCTGTCTGATGTTCAAAGGCAGGGTAATACTCTTCACTGCTGAACAGATCGGTCCACGACATGAGGGGGTCGCAGAAGGACGTGTTGGGCAGGAAGGAGCTGTGTGTCACCGAGTCCAGCATCACTCTGCAACAGCAGGAGAAGCCATGAGGAACTGTAGGAGGGAAGGCTCCGAGAAGCCATGATGTGGAGCCCTTCGTGGGGCAGCCCTTGGCTTTAGGACTTTAGCGTTGAACATTCATTGCCTACCAGGAGCCTTCGACCCTTCTAAGGGTTTCGACGCACGCCGTTATGAAGTCTTGTCCCACCCAATCTAGTCCTATTTTATAAATGGGGAAACTGGGGACTTGGATTTTTTTTTTTGGCATCAAAATAAGCTAATTTTTTGATTCTATTTTTCATTAACTATCTAGAATACTGTTGGATATTGAAGGAGTGTTCAAACAGTTCATGGAAAATATTTATTATTTATAAAACTAACCATGGAATCCAAGATATTTTGCACAAAAATACAGTTATTGTCCTCATACGCATATCTAAAACTACATATTAAGGGCTTAAAAAAATTCATGAAATTGCTTGGCTCTAGCTCCTGACTTCAGCTTCCTGCTGCTACAGATCCTGGGAGCCAGAAGTGATGGTTCAGATAACTGGCTACCTGCCGCCCTCATGGGAAACCTGGGTTGCATTTTCAGCTTCTGATTTTGGCTTAACCTAGTCTCAGGCATTGTGGGCATCTGGGGGCAGTGAACCAGTAGATGAAAGTTCTTTCTTTTTCTTTCTCAGAAGATCAAAGATGATGCAGATTTTCCACAAGTATTTTGAAGCCACCTTATACACATTATAGAGTTTTATAACTGTAGCTAGGGTTTTCTTCATTGCACTTGGGGAGTATTCATAAGATGCACTGCAGAAATGTTGGTATGCAATTCTAGAGCCTGAGGGCTATTCTGCATTCTGAATTCTGCAGTGCAACTGGCCCTGGGGCCTTGGCAAGAAGAGTGTGGCCCTATGACCATGGTAACTAGCACAACACCTTGGGCCCCTTTAGTACTTTGATGGCTTTGGTTCTAGTACCCTCTGAAGGACCACTCTGAGGCCTAGGGGTTCCACTCTGTGGGTGAGGAGAGATGGAGGCGGTGAGATCTCAGTGATGTATGTGAAATACCCAGTGACAGGTGGCAGTTTGTATGTGGCAGCTCGGGTCTAACTGTGTAGAAAGCCCCTGGTCTTCCCCACTGTGTCCTCCTGCCCTGTACACTTCTGTGGAAAGCTCCAGCAGCAGGTGTGTGCGTGGGACTGAGAATGGGTAGAAGAGAACAGGCCTTGGACCACCACTTGCACACATCCTCTGCTGCACCAACTTCATCCTCGCTGCTTCCTATGTTCCCACTTGCCACTTTCTTGACATATTCTATATTCCCACAGCGTGGAAAAATCTGCCCACATCTGGGGGACCATAGGCAGGGCCCACGCTGTCTTTGCAATGGGACGCACATTTCAAGACCACATGGCCAGCAAAGTCGGAGCAGAGAACGATATCAGGGTTTGGGATACTAAACACTTGAGATTTCAACGTGACCGGGAGCTTACCAAATGTCATGTTCAATGCATTTCAGAATTCAGTCACTTGCCTCTCACCACAATTTCTCCCAATCTATATACCATGAGCACTACTAGTTACTTAAAATGTTTTTAAAAAGCCAGTTTCCTTTTTGCTTCAACAAAAATGTAAATGGAAAACTTACATCACTGTAAGTGGAAAAATCAGATTTCTGACTTACATAAAATGAATACACAACCATTTAAATCATTTAAATGAAAATTGTTCATCCATGCACCTGGATCAGGATTAATGAAGTATAGCCCATAAGCCAATCTGTGGCCTGCCACCTGTTCTACGGCTCACTCCTCAAAGGTCCACAATGACTGGGGCTGGGCTGGGTCAAAGTCGGGAGCCAGGAAGTCAATCCAGGTTTCCCCACACAGGTGGCAGGGACCACTTGAACCTCCCAGAATCTGCCTCAGTAGGAACCTGGAATCCAAAGCTGAGGCAGAACTCAAACAGAGGCACCCTGATACAGAATGCAAGGGTCTCCAGTAACATCATAGCCAACGCCCCTAATGCTGCTAACAGTTTTCAGCAAGTACCTGCATAACATACTTGACTTTTCCTTTTGGTCTGCAGGTCCTAAACTGTTTATTCTCTGGCCGTTTGAGAAAAATGTTTGTCAGTTCTGAGCCAGATTTACCTCCCCTGTCACACATGGTGTGAGTTAGAAAATAGTGAGTTAGTCTAGCCTTTTACATCGGAGGAAGTTAAGCTGAAGGCAGGGCGCTAGTCTTCCAGCTCTTGCCCTGGAGCTCCTTTTCTCCCAACACACTTCCAGGCAGGCCGGTTTCACTAACAAGGCAACTGGAGCATCAGAATTAAGAGGGATAGGGACGATGACAGGACTCCAAAAGACCAAGTCTACAGGGATGTTTGCAAATGCACCATCATCAGCACCTTGCAACACTCATGAGAACTGCCCTCCTGATGGCTAGAGAGGGTTGAGGCATCCCAGTGCTTATCACGGCCTTGCATCTCTCCGGGAACCCTCTCAGTCCCAAGTCAAGGTTGCCTGGGTTGGGCCCTGATTTTCTCATGGATTAGCTTTTCTCTCCTGAGCCGGGAGCAGTGGGTACAGGACGGAGAGGGATGCCATGAGAAGTTGGGAGGGATGGATAGGAGCTTTGCTTCGAGCCCAAAGAGGCACATTTGTTTTCTGGACTGAACTTTAGGAAAGTCCCGGCAAGCAAGGACAAAGGATAAAAGCACCCTATTTCTGGGGCTGGCGTTTGTTTTGCAGTGGGCTAAGCTGCCGCTTAGTAAGTCAGCATCCCATATTGGAACATTGGTTTGAATCCCAGCCACCCTGTTTCTGATCCAATTCTGTGATAACACACCTAGGAAAGCAACGGAGGAAGGCCCAAGTACTTGGAGCTCTGCCACCCACATGGGAAGACTTGGATGGGCTTAGGGGCCCCTTGCTTTAGCTTGGCCCATCCTTGACTATTGTTGCCATTCAGGGAGTGAACCAGGGGATGGGAGATTCTGTCTTTGTTTCTGGTCTCTGTCATCTGCCTTTCAAGTAAATAAATCTTTTTTTTTTTTTTTTAAATTGTAAAGAGACCCCCTCCTTCTCTCTAGGCCAGAAGCACAGAAGATGAAGCAGAGCATGCACGCTTCGGAAGTGACTTCACTGGAGTTTGGAGAAAGGAGAGAAAGAAAATGAAATGAGGTCCTTGGAGCTGCAGGTCCCTAAGGACTGCACAGGATCACAGCTAGACAGCAGAAGTGTGATCGCCTCTCCCTGCTGCCCTTGAGCTCTCAAAAGCTATTTGTGCCTTAATAATTCAATCGCATCAGTGCTAGAAGTGTGTGGAGCAATCAGACATTAGCCTCCTTTCATAGTTGCAGCTCTCTCCTTCCGCCTGACCCCTCAGGGATGTGTCATCTCCCCAGGCCTGCCCTCTATAGTCTATCAGCCCGTTAACACCTCCTAGGGCAAATAGACTCCGTAAGTTTTCTGAGAGGGCACTACCAGCTGCACATCAGGCTCTCTCCCTTCTGTGATGATTTCTTTTAGGAGAAGGGTAACAGTTCTTGTCTTCTTGTTTCTGCTCTGTGTTAAGGAGCTTGGGGGCTCTGCACAAAGCCTGGACCCCAGCATGCACGAGGCATGCACATTCAGGAATATAACTGTTACTTATACCCAGCCCTCCCCAAGTCCTTGCAAGAAGGCAATCCTCTAGTCCCTCTAGCCCTCATGGTTTCTCTAATGCAGGGGGAGGGAGGGTGAGGATGGAAGCTGTGTGCTGCTGCTTTTTTCAATGCGAGCATTGAGGCACTAGCCACCTGAATGTAGACCAGGCGTTCTCAACAGGGTGATCCTGCCTTCTGGTGTGAAAAGCCAATTTTGAGCAAGAAAGTCAACACAATGAAACAAAGCAAGACACGACTAGGATTCAGAACCCTCCAACCTCCTGCAATTTATCAACAGACAGCTTATCTACGATTTTCACGTTTCGGGCAAGGGTGGAAGAGATGAAGAAAAATGATGTAAAAGGGATCCCAGGGGCTGTGAGTGACAATGAAGAGTGAGGGGCTCTGGGTCTCAGCCAGGCCAGATGGGGCTCCCTGGGCCAGTCTTCCTGCTCAGCTCTTGCAGCCAGGCTTTGGGTGGCAAGGGCTTTACTGGTCAGCGCAGGCAGGGTCCAGGCTGTGAGTCAGGACTGCCTCTTGCACCTCTCCCAGCAACTCTCCCCCTTTATGTGTTGGTATGGACGCTGACAAGATGGCTTCTGGTTCTGCTCTAGCTCTGGGCAGTCTACCCACCCTGGGCCAATGCATCCTGTGCCCGCATCCAAATATACAATCCACATTGCTTAGATTCAGACACTTGTGATGGAGCCAAGTCACCCAAATAGGAGTCAACTCTAACCACGACAAACACGGATTAGCATGTTAGCTCTGACAAAGGGCCCAGGTGTCCTCTTCTCCATCAGGAGTCCATTACCTTCTGCCTTCACTGGGCATATAAATCTCTGAGGAGCTGGATTTGACCCAGACAAGGCAGGTGCCTTACACCCTCCGGGCCCTCACTCTCATTTGCCTATGCACAAACCCACAGTGCTTAGAATCCATTTTCCCACAATCAGTTCCCATTCTAGTTGTCTGGTAAGTAGGAAAAGATAAAAGCTCACGCACACCAGGTGGAGGACTCAGATGAGCTCCCCTGTACACACGGGACGGGCCAGCTGCAGGTTCCTTTGAGAGTGAAGCAGTGATCGTCTGGAAGCTGCTGTCCCCAGATGCCTCCGGCGGCTTCCAAATTCTTCTCAGAGCCAATACCCAGAGGGCCCCAGGTCAGAGGAGCGGGCTTGTGAGCTCCTCAGCTCTCCATAAAGTTGAGGCAGCAGGGACAGGTGTGGCGCCCATGGCCCGAGTAACCAGGCACCTCTGCTCAGCCTTCCGGACAGAGGGGCAGCAGCAAATCACCCGGCCTTGGCCAGTTTGCCAGGGGAGGAAAATTCCTCCCTGAGCATGGCCAGGATCACCAACTTTGCTCTGGGCATGTGATCAAAACTCTAGCCAATTAAGCATCTGCATATTGGCTGTTTATGTATCAAAACATTCTTGGGCGGAGCAAGGTTGTGAGGCAGGAGAGCAAGGCAAGAGGGGGCTACACAGGGTCGTTCCTCACCCAACCACCTGAGTAGTATCATTGGGATGACCAGCCTCTCTCTCGCACTCTCACTCTCGCTCTCTCATGCCTTCAGCAACTCTCAGTGTGTGTTAGGCCCACCAGCTCCTGAGCCCTGTGGACAGGGCAGGGTCAGTTTCCCAGAGGGACCTGTCTGAGAAGGTGAACAGTGGAGAGAATCTGGCCGGCTGTTTCGACACTTGATGCTAAAGAAGAATTGTGGGTTGGGTGCTGAAGTGTTTGTTCTTTGGGCAGAAACTTAAGCAGCTGGGAGAACTGACCTGCTGACGTCAAGCTGTGGCTCATTTGCCTTAAGCGTGCTGTGGGAGCTTGCCTGTTTATTTGCTTCTGTCTGCTTCTCTGAAGGTGCTGCTGAGGCCACAGCAGGTGGATCACGAGGTTTGCTGGCGGCTTCAGTGCTAAGTTCCTTGGTCTTGGATCGAACATGTTGTGGGCTACAGCCTGCCTCGAGGACTCGGGGACCAGGGGCACCTTTCTGATGACTTGCTGAAATATTCCCTCACCGGCCCCACTTTCCATGGACACTTTCCTGACCCTGGAGGAGCTGTGACTTCCTCATCTCTAAGGAGGGAGCTGTGACAGACAACCCTCAGGATATCCTGAGAAGTTCAGAAAAGCAGTCCCTATGTGCAGAGGACTGGGTGAAACGCGCATTCCTGCCCCAGAGGAACGAAACAGCTACCATCAGTGGCGCTCAGGAGTGATCACTCTGAGATGAAGACAAACTCCTGCCTAGAAATGCCTGAATCACGAAAACCCACGACTCAACACGACACACATACAGAACAGGAAGACAAAAGGATCAAGTTCTCACTCTTACAGGCAACCGACCCTTTGCTGGATGTTATGACTTACACACGGAGCTTGTTTCCCTTCATCATGGAACCTTTCCTGGCCCGTGTCGGTAAAATGAGAATTTGTACTAATCCACAACACACCTCTCCCAACGTGGGTCCGTGGTTTCCACTTGCAGAGGTTAGCATGTGTTTCTAGTTGCTGCCAGCAGGGGGCAAAGCCACGCGAACCCCCAGACAATTGCGAGTCTTTTCTCCAGGCCAGAAAGCGCTGGAAAAATCCGAACCATTGTTTTTTTAGGGGGAATCGTATACTGAGGGGCTGGGAGAGGGCAGACTGAGTTCCTTTGAAGCTATTTAGTACAGATGAATTCCTGAAACCCTCTCCCTCCACTCCGCCCATTAAGAAAGTTCTGCGTATTGCTGGGGGCAGATGGAATGAGCTGGTCCATGGGGGAAGGAGAAGAAAAGTAGGGTAGGGGAGGAGGTGGTGGACTTGCCTTAAGCAGAGTATTTCACTGTGGATAACCCAGTCTCCTTTGCAGCTCTAGCGAAGGCAGAGGTGAGCGTCCATACGCAATCTCTTGGCTTCTTCCCCCAAGGGTTCCACACTGAGGGGAATGCGGGTGAGGGGGGGTGGGGGGGCGTGAGGAGCTAGCGGGTGGCCACACAGGCTGGAGAGGCCAAAGGTGTCTGTCTCAGGTGAACAATCAAATCCGAGTCACCCAGAGCCTGGGTGGCCCTGGCAATGCCTATGGAGGGTCCGGCTCTGGAGTGGGAGCGGATCAAACAGAGCGACCCAGCCCAGTTTGAGCCTTGGAATCCTGCCACCCCTTCTAAGCCCTCCAAAAGAGCAAAGAAAAGTTGCTTACGTGAGGACAGTGCTGGCTAGGTCCACGGGCAAGGCTTGCAACGCAAGAGAAGGCAGGCGCTCCCAGCACCAGCGTACAGTGGAAATAAAGGCACCTGTAGCCTGGTGATATAAGTGACACCTACAGACAGGTCCGTTTGGTTTTTCAGGTTTATGCACAGCCCCTTTGATGACGGTGACATACAGTGTGACACGGCTCCTTGGAGGGGGAATGGTTTTCAGGTGCAGAAAGTTTACCTTTATCCTGCTTTTGTGTCCAGTTCACGCCCCCCACCCCCACCCCCCAAGGCCAAGGGGACTCAGTAAACAACCAGACCATATTATGCTTGCTTCTGGGAGCTTGGCAGGATCCATAGATTCATAGATTGGCTGGGGGAATTCTCCTCCGTGCGAATTGGAGGGAAACTCAGACACCCAGCACCTGTGGGTGCTGCCTCCCTGCTGGGCCGGCTGGGCCCTGGGGCTTTTGTGTCTCAGGTGCTTCCTCCCACCCCCTTTCCTGTGTGGTAAGCAGGAAGGGTAGGCTGGGGCAGTGATTAAGAACACAACTCAGGTCTTGCAGCCAGATAGCTCGGGATCTGATTGCTTTTGATGGCATCCTTGTTCTAGCTGTGTCTCTCCTTGAGGAACTTGACGAGCCCTTCTCATGTGGGGAACGGTGCCTCTCCTTGGGGCTACTTCAGAGGTCACTGAGGCAACACCAGCAGAGAATCCAGGATGGCCTCTCTAGGCTCTGGTCACCGAGGTTTCCTTGATGGAGTCGGTGTGTCAGCTTGCCCTGTCTCTAGGACCCCTTCCAGCCAGGCTGGAGCAGCTAGCAGTCAGGGCCACCGCTGGGCTGCTGCTTCTCGGGTTTTCACGCTAAGGTACAGATAAGTTTTCAGACTATATAAATTTGTCCTGCTTCCAACACCTCCAGACATAAGGAGTCAGGGGGTGAGCTTTCTCACCCTTGTTTTCCCCAACTCTGACAGAGGGAGAAGAGGGGAGACTTGCTGGTCCGGTCACGTGTGCAGTGCTAACCAACGAGGCAGCCTGACCTGGAGGCCAGCCCTCGGGTGTTCCATGGGGAACTACGTACTTTTTGAGAGTGGAAACTCGGCCTCCCACAGGCTGCGTGCACCGGGTCCTGGGTCAACTGTGGGGCAGCATTTATATCACCCCTGACACTGCTCATTTGCACTGTGCTTCCAGCAGCCTTGGGCAGCTAACCTGCTGTGTTGGAACGGTGGACTCCAGGCTTGTAAGTGAAAGTGGAGACTGGTTGGTTAAGTTTTCTCGGAAACACTGGGCACAGGGACAAACACACAAATATAAACACCTGTCCGGTCTCAAGAAACAAAAGGCATTCATTAGCAGCTTCAGGGTGTCATCATGGAAAAATTGTTGAGGGGTGATAAGGTACTGCCCAGGTTGTGCATCCACAGGCCAGGCAGGGAGCTTCTCTGGGCTTTGGGATCCCCATGGTGGGAGAGGAAGTGGGATTAGAAGGCTTATCTTCAAACTTTGCCTAGGGAGAAAACCCTGGGGTGCCCTGGAATCCACACTAGAGATTTTTGGGGATAGGAAGATAGGATTGGGGTGAATGGGTTAGGCTTTTAGTAGATGACCCCCACTCCCTGACCCAAGAAGAGTATTGTTAATTTTATATAAACCTTCCAGGCTAGATTTTTTTCTCAAACAATAGAATCTGTACTGAAAAAAAATTTTTCTGGGGCCAGCATTGTAGCTCAACAGGTTAAGCAAATACCTGTGACACTGGCACCCCATGGGGGGCCAGTTAATGTCCTGGCTGTTCCACTTCCTATCCAGCTCCCTGCTAATGGACCTGAAAAAGCAGTGGCAGACAGCTCAAGTGATTTTTGTCCTTGCACCTACAAGGGAGACTCTAATGAAGTTTCTGGCTCCTGGCTTCAGTCTTGCCCAGCCCGGGCTGTTGGGGTCTTCTAGGGAGCAAACCACTGGGTGGCAGGTCTGTCTATCTCCGTCTCCACTATTCTCTGTGTAATTTTGACAAAGCAATAAATACAACTTTAAGAAGAAAATCTTGCAAACAGCTGCATTAGATGGTCTTTGAAGTCTTGGGATTCTGTGACATCTTTTCCTTCTTGGTGTCTAAGGCACTGTGATGGTCACAGATGCTACCTAATTTGCTTTTGGGGACTGTCCTATCTTGTCCCCTGGTTTTGGAACTGTTACTAATGCTGTTTGCATTTCTTGGGGAGACACTGTCAATGGAAATCTTATAAAAAGTTTTCTAGAAAAAGCACATTTTCTAGTCTCTTGATTCAGTGAAGAGTAAGAAGTCTTCCAGTGAGTGGTGGATGTGTAGGACAACAGACTGCCTCACTCTCCGGACTGTGTAACATAGCCTCTCCGAGTGACTGTGCGAAATTACAGGCTTCTATACCCATGGATAAAAGGGCTCATTAAGATAAAACCAAAATAAAAGAGGAATTTGACTCTAATTAAGTTGGGTCATCACACTGAATCTAAATGTAATTGGAGTGGTGCTCTGGGATGACAATGACTCCTAACCTTCTAGAGATTGTATTATAGATGTTGGATAAAGACAAGAGAAGGGGATTCGAGTGGGGAGGGGTGGGAGGAAGGAATGGGGCAGAGCCTACTCTCCTGCGATAGCTCAGTTACCTAGCAGCGGCAAGTTTGGGCTTTCCATCATAATTCAGATTCTAGAGGGACGGCTCCTGGGTTTGGATCCCTACTGGGTCTCTTACTGACTGGTTGAGGCGGGAAAGTCTCTTTTATGACTCTGTAGCCCACTTTACTCATCTGTGAAATGGGGGGCACCAAATATATCTCCTGTGGAGTGGTGGTGCATGAAGGTACTTTGAGCCTGGGCAGTGTGACTTATCTACACTCTGAGCTATGGCATTCATTATGTTCAGCTTCACGAATCTTTGACATGGGAGTTACATTGTCATGTCCATGTAGAGGCGCAGAAGGATTAGGTTACTTTCCCATGATTACATAGCTAATAAGTGGTAGAGTAAGCATTTTAGTTTGGGCTTTCCATCTTTGGAGCCCATCCGTTTAATCACTGGGTGCTCCTGGGTAGCTTTTTGGGGACAGAGGGCAGAGAATCACATTTGGGTAGAGCATCTTTCAAGTGCTGTGTTAGGATGACCCAATTGTCTCCTCTGGGGTTATTTATCACAGCTTTATCTTTCTAAGATAAAGCTACAGGTGCCATGTGGCTGGTCAGTGGGTGAGCCTGGGTTGAGCTCAAGCCTCCCCAGTATTAAAGCCATCTTATAAAGACAGGAGTTCAGATTGTGCTGTCTTCTTTTGTTCTGGGCTTCTGCACTTGCCTTAGAAGGGATGCTTTCCTTTCTATTGGTTCAGTGTCTCTGGGTCCCCTGATCATTGCCAGCATAGGCTGCCTCTTAGTAAAGTAGAAATTTTTGTATTTTATTGACTTTCTTGCATGACCCTTGGGATTATGAAAATACTAATACACACATGTGTCATGAAATTGTATGACTTACAGGATGTGTCAGCTGACATAAGGTTGGAGCTGTCACTCAATTCTTTTATCATAGATGGACCAGACTCCAGGTCTGCCCTCTTAAGCCCAGGCTAACATTTCCTTATCATGTCCTTTCCCTCCCAATATGCCATGCTTATCATCACCTCCGAGAGGCAGCCCAAGCTGAAAAAATTGAAGTGAATAAAAAAAATGAGTTTAGGAAAATTAGTAGATGTGGTCTTTGGAGGGAGAGAGATGAAGTGTGAGGGCAAATTGCATGAGGCTTTGGATGCTGACACTAAATTTAGAAATAGTTCTGTGGGAAGAACTGCATTCTTCCCTGCTGTATTAGAACTGCATTCTTCCCTGCTGTATTAGCTCAAATGTTTAAGGACAAATATTTTGTGTCAGTTGGATGTGTAGGATAACAAACTATAGGCAGCTGTCACTCGGGAAGTGTTAGATGGGACACTAACTTTTCAGGGCCTCAGTTCCGCATCCATCAAGTGTCCAGCTGTGATTTGCGGTGCATGGTAGGTTTCCCTAAAAGGCAGCTATTCTAATGGATAATGGAGAGACGTACAAGTGTGGCTTGAGATCCCGGACCTCTGAGCACATCATCATATCAACTAGGATAATCTTGTCCTCCCTTACAATGAACATGCAGTTTCCAGCCACGGGGGCATGACAGAGGTGAGCAATGCTACAGTCAATAGTTGGATACTACCTCATGAAAATGAAAAATGCTATAATGAAGAATTATAAGATTTGATTTTATTAAAATCAGTCATGAAAAATAGGGATTTTTATTTTAAGTAACTGGGACATCAGTCACACTGCATGTCTGTATTTCTTGTCTCTCTTCTTCCAGTTACGAGAACCTCACCCTATGAAAGGCACTCTGTTAGGGTCAGTCCAGTGGATCTGAAGACACTAGTAGAGTCACAAAGTTGCAGATGAGAGAGGCTCAGCCCAGTGTTGCTCTTCTGAAAGGAAAAGTTCCTGGAAGAGGGCAGAATCTTTTCTTTCGCTATTTTCCTTCTAAACATTAGTGCCTTGGAAGGTGTGAGACTTGTTTGGGGTGACAGTTTGAGAAGTGGATGAGCTGGACTGCTGTGGCCAATTTGTGCTGTTGGTTGGGGGGAGCGGGGACAGGGTGGTGCTAGTGGAGTGGCCACAGGAGACTTGGGATGTGAATGGACCTGTCCCTCTAGTCATGTTCAATGAGTGAAATGGATCTGGGGACCACATTAATGAAGGTAAGTGTATCAATAGATCATCAATGATGCAATCATTACAGATTTTATCTTCCTATAGGCAAGCTAATACTGAACTTCAGTCATGAACAGGGTGAGCCTAATGTTCCAAACCTGTTTCCTTGCTAGTCAGGTAGGAATGATCAGACACAGTTTGACCTGTGTGTGACCTCATTGGCTTCCATATGTGCAGGCTGAACTCATTCCTGCCAGTTGTCATTCAAAGGTATGTCCTTGGTCATCGATGGAAGTGGATTGGTGTAAGGACGGAGGGAGGAAAGTGGAAAGGTGTGCTAGGGGAAAGTTATGACTGGGTCTATGAGGGTTCTTCCTCATCAGTCGACCTAATATGATTCTAAGATGCCATTGCTTA